TTGCCGATTCAAAAGATGTATTACTGTTATCTGTAAGAGAAAAATTACCAGTATTTTAGGAGCAAGTGAGCGCGCCGGCGCCTCCATCTGCAGTGAGCGCTGTTCAGCTTCCACTCTCCTCACACACACTGAAACAGCGCACATTTCTCTAGGTTAACATTAGATTGAGCGGACATGTAAAGTTGCTAATACTTACATATTTCAGATGATAAGCCATATTTGAGAGGTCGATGAATGATAGGCGAGCGTTTGGATGTCCTGTATTACCATAGACTAGCCGTTACCATAACGATCTATTAGTCACGCCTGTGGAGTGTTTTTTTTTCTTCTGCGACTAATAAAATTTTGGTCGACCAAGCCTCTTCTGGTCGACTAACGATTAGTCGACTATTAGGGGGCAGCCCTACAATTTGCTATATAATACATTCTGCTTAACATTAATGCACTGTATGCAACCGGTTAAGGTTGTATGCAGCTGTGTAATTCGTTATTAATAGTTACTAATTTGATATATATGGAAGCCCATTTCCACCACTGAATAAAAAATAAAAGATGGCAAATGCGACTTTTTATCTCACAATTCTGACTTTTTTTAATCGCAATTGCAAGTTTACATCTTGCAATTCTGAATTTTTTCTCCGAATTGTGAGATCTAAACTTGCAATTGCGAGAAATAAAGACTTCTTTCTTGCAATTGCCAGTTTATATCTTGCAATTCTGACTTTTTCTCGCAGTTGTAACTTTTCTCACAATTGCAAGTTTACATCTCGCAATTCTGACTTTTTTTCTCGCAATTTTAGCTTCTTTTTTTCAGAACTGTGAGATATAAACTCACAATTGTGAGGGAAATTGTGAGTCCAATTCTGAGGGAAAAAGAGTGACTATTTTCTTAGTTGCGTGTTTATATCTTGACATTCTGACTTTATAGCACGCAATTGTGACTTTATATCATGCAATTTCAAGTTTATATCTCACGGTTCTGACAAAGAAAGTCATAATTGCAAAATGTAAACTCGCAATTGCAAGAAAAAAAAGTCAGAATGGTGAGATAAAAAGTTGCAGTTACCTTTTTGTAAATGTTTTATTCAGTGGCAGAAATGGGCTTCCATATTATCAGGTGTTATCTTTGTAAAATTTGAAATCAAGAGTGAATTGTATTTCTTACCCGAAAACATAATTTAAAATAAAAAAAATGTAAATGGCGATTTCATGTTAAGTATACAAAAATGTATGATTTTTCTAAAATATAAATAAAACAGATTATTGGAGTTTGTTTTACAAGAAAATACTATTTAAGTATTTCTACTACAAAATTTCATGTTTAATTTGATGTGTTACTTGCTGTTTCTTTGTTTTTAAAAATGTCTCAGTGAGCAATTTCTGAGTGAAAATAGTTTCTACACCCATTTTTTCTCCCCTCATTGTACTCTCTCTCTCATGTTGTTCCAAACCTGTATGACTTTCTTTCTTCTGTCCAAACAACATTAGAGCCTCTTGACTTTCATTGTATGGATGAAAAGGAAGAGGTGTTTTTCAAAACATCTTCTTTTGTGCTCCACAGAAGAAAGAAAGTCTCAACATTAGAGTGCGTAAATGATGACAGAATTTTCATTTTTGGGTGAACTATACCTTTAACCTAGTTAAGTAGCCTGGTGGCTTGTGTTTTGTAATCTGGTCTGTTTCTGAAATCAAACATACAAACTCACTTAGCCTGTCAGTTGCAGTTATATTAGATGTTCTTTATACCTTATAGAATTTAGCTTTTACTTTTTTGCAGCTATAAACGAGAGAGAGAGAGAGACAGGAACAAAAGAATGCAAGAAAGAAACATCTTAACTAAAAGCCCTGAAAAGTGGGTTGGGTTGGAAAACGGGCAAGAGAATGGGTGTAGAATGTAATTTAGATAGCATGCAAAGTTTTGCTGAAGAAACAAACATGATTAAGAGAGTGTTGAGATCTGGGAGGGTGGATGAGAAACAGCTGAGGGGCTGAATAGACAGGCTGCTTTATACAGCCCACTGTAAGGATGCATTTAAATGCACGCTCACATCAACACGCCCGTCACCTCGCTCTCCCTCCTGGTATTGAATGCCCTCTGTGGCACCGCGCCAACCCTGTTCTCCTTCGTCTCGCTCGGGGTTGGCGCAGGCACAAAGGGGCATACAGGATGCTTTAGTAAAAAGGAGTGAAACCTCAGACCCCCCTCCCGTGACCACCAAGACTGTGAAGGAAGACGACTTCCTTTCATTATAGACATTTACATTTGAGTGTGTCGCAGGGCCGTTTCTAGGCATAGGCAAGCTAGGCGGTCGCCTAGGGCGCCACCAGCTGAAGGGGCGCCAATGAACGCACGTACTGGCACTTTTAGCAGGGTTGTGACAAAGAGTGGCACGGTCACCCTGAAATATGACTGCCACCCCCACTGGACCCCCCAACATTATTGGGCTAGAGTACTGTCAATCTGACGATGCCTGTATGCCACTAGATCAGAGTGCTGTCAATTGCTGCCTGATTGTTGCATGCAAAGT